AACAGCAGACCTCTCATCAGAAACAATGCAAGCGAGGAGAGAATGGGAGAATATATTCAAAGCATTAAGGGAAAAGCAATTTCAACCGAGAATTCTGTACCCAGCAAGATTATCGTTCATTTGGGAAGAAAAGACACGAACATTCTTAAATAAACAAGACCTGAAAGAGTTTACCAGCACCAGACCAGATCTCCAAGAAGTTCTTAAGGGGGTGCTATGTCAGTACGTTAGGAAAGACATTTGTACTTGCACAGTTTTAATCATTCCTCAATCATTCTTAAATTTTGAACATGTGAATTGTCTGAAAGAAATCTTTAGTTTTTCAGTAATTTTTACTCTTTGTGCACATGTTGATTTCTTAATGGTAAATGCTTTGTTAAAAATGGTGTTCTCTGTTGAGAATATTTTCATGGAATAAAACAATCTTTTCATGGTCAGTAAAAAAAAAAACAAACAAAAAAAACCCAAAAACAAACTTGTACTTTAATTCCATTTTTCCATGAACTCTTTGAAATCTCCATATATGAGGATAGGGAATGAGTTATGTAATTCAATACACTCAAAACATTTTTATAAGAACACATTTTTCAAAAGCATGTGAACAAAAGGATACAGATTTAGCACACATCAGAGTGGTTGCACGTGGAAGGTAGTAGGAGAGATGAGGGTAAAAGGAAGTAAATGCAGAGAGAGACCTTATTGGACAAAGATGGTGATGTGTGATAAAGCTCTGATCTGGCACCCATCTGTCTATTCATTTGGACATGCAAGGGAATGGTTCGTTCAAATGCTATGACCAGTGCTCTACTTCCTGCTCTGTAGATAAGTCACAAAGAAAGGAGAAGTATGGACCTTTTAGGGGTTTGCTTGTCTCACTAAAAAAGAACTCAAGCTCTTCTCTAGAACAGAGAGCTGTCCCATCAGCTCCCAATTTTGATGAGGAATATGCTGGGTTTATATAAGGGTAGATAGTGTGGACAGTGATCATTAGTCTTCCCCTCTCAGCTGAAATATCTGAAAACTGGATTTCCATAATCCACCATCTATTGTCCCAGAGTCTAGGGTTTGCCGGTCTTCATTTACTCTTACAACTTTAAAAACTGAAGCTTGTGTGAGTATAGAACCCTGGAGTTTTCCTGCAAAGCACCCCATACTCCCCCTCCTCACTCCAAACAGCTCATTCTGGATAGCAGGGACTGGAGCAAAGGTAATAAAAGAAAACTTCTCATTACCCATCTCTGGGTACCTCTGCAAATGATTGTCTTCGCTTAACCTCAAGGTCAAGACAACCTATTTTATAGTGTTCACTGTCTCTGAGGACAAGCTTTAGCAAGAGCCTTGTTTGCTTTTTATAGTATTAAAAAAGACAATGAAACCTGCTTCTCAGACAATCATTTCACCAAGGCCTTGTTACTCTTCGGGGAATATTTGTTTCCTCATTTATATTCATGTCTCTAAAAGACAAGTAGACCTTGGATGAAATTTCAGGCGACAGTAAATTATAAATAATGTATCCATATTTTTTCTCTTCCATACTACTTGTATTTAATTCCCCCCAGAGTCTTGTGCAAACACCAGAGACAAGAGGACAGGAAGCTATTAACATGATGGAAAGAATGAAATGGGCTTATGTTATATGGCACAAACACAGGGGAAGACATCTTGATCAAAGGAGTTTTTTTTTTTGAGATTTTGCTCTTTCTTTTAAAATTTTTATTCTTACTTTTTGACATCTAACTCATCCTGTCTATTAGGTAGGCATCTGCTGGAAATGACTCCCTTATCTTGGTCCACCCAAGGCAAGGAGAGGGTTTGTTGGTGAATGGAAGCCACCTGGGGCCAAACATGAAACCCTATTGTTCCATCAGAGAAAGCATAGGACACACTTTGGGTGATTAGCTGAGATCAGCCCATCCCAAGAATAGGATGCTACTAAGTGGAAAACTTAGATACTGTCAATGGAGTCATTAAAGATGCTAAAAATAAATTAGCCTCTAAATCCATCAGCCCTGCCTTGCCATCATAGAGGAAGGAGATTTCCAGACTTGTTTCTCAGCAAGAGTAATTCATGCCTGTGGAGTCCTGACTGGCATCACTCCAATTCTACATGTAAGTGAAGAAGCTCTGCTCTCCATTTTTGCTTCTTTCTCTTCTTAGGGCATCCCCATCTCCACCCTCAGGAAACTGATATCCTTGTATTCACCTCCTACGTAATGTAATTTGCTCTTTGCAGGGGTAGAAAAGGTGGGGGGAGGTGGGTGGCACAGGCAATGAGAACTCGTTAATATAATATTAATGTGTAAATGACTGTGGTCTCATGCAATTTTTTCAGGAAAATTTACATTGAGGTGGCAGACAGATTCTGAAATTAGAGAGCTTTGAGCATTATACTCTGCAGGCTTTTTTCTTTCCCTGTGCCAGTCCTGCAAGGAGTGTTAAGAACTTCTCCTTCAGCTTTGCTTCACCATAGACCCTTTTTAGCTCTGCAGCTGGAACTTAACTGCTTAATTCAACCAACATCTTTTACGCTTGTTATGTGCCAAGCTTTGTGCAAGGTAACTTCACAAGCATTATTTCTGTCCAAGAATTTTTCATTCTGCAACCAATCATTTCAATGGGTCCTAATCAATCTCCAAGACAAAACCAACAGAGTTTGGTAAGCATTGGTGACTTAGATTTAAATTTGAGCTTTCCAGTAACACTGCAAAAGCTCCCAAACATGGGCACATCTTTGCCATGTGCCTTGATTGGAATGGAGAGTCCTTCTCTTGTGCCCCAGATTCCACACTGAATGGCTAGATCAGTAACTACACTCATTGCAAAGATACTTTGGCTCTTCCATTTTCTCTTCTCTGAGTTGGTATTGGCCATCGTCAGGAGCTCAGTGTCAATTAGAGTCTTGTAAAAACAACCAACCAGCCAAAGTACATCCAGATGGTCTCCTGCACTGTTCCCCAAACAGAGCCCTGGCCTCCTCTTTAAATTTCCATGTGAGATGTTAACCCTCTGCTGATTCGTTACTACTGAAACTCCATTTGCACTTGGGATCCCAGATCCAAACCATTGCAGATCCCCTGGAGCAGCTGCATTTAAGAGAGGGCAGTGATGGGCACAGAAGCTGGTATGCAGTTACAGCCCAGATGGGTCTGGAGTGAGGCACAGCAGCAGGATACTGCAGAAACTCTAGGCCTATTGTCATACTGATCATAACTGCTAGCTGTGGCATCACCAGGATGGGAATTAAAAACTCATACTACACTGAGCAAGCATTGAAACCCACGCATTTTGGGGATGAAATGATTAATTTAGACCTAATAAATATGCAAATTTGGAGCTCTGTTTAAATGTATGTCATCTGTGTCATTTTTATGAGAAGAAAATTCCTAATTCAATGTAAAGCTCCAAGCCATGGGTTTTTAAGTGGTATCTTATAAAAGGGAACCATAGAGGACCCTTTAATTAACCTGTGAATGTTCAGGGAAGGACTTGAACAAGAGGGTAACACCTTAGTTCTGAAATAAGACAACTTTGAAAAGGCATGGAGGGTGAGCATAATTCACTTCAACCGTGTAAAAGAGATCAAGTGTCCTATAAGTTCCACTTGGTAAAGACATGTCTTGGATTTATACGTTGGTTGTATGAGCAAGGTTTATTTTTAATTTTTAAATTAAAACATTTGTTTTCCTGATTAATAAGCTCATTGAAGATGCTTTGTGAGAAATTGAAAAGTACAAGAAAAAAGAGAGAGAGGGAGAGAGAGAAAAGGACTCATTCACAATCTTAATACTCTGCAGAACCACTGGAGACATTTAGATATAGCTGTTCAATATCTTGCTTTGTCAGATTCAGATTTGGAGGCACCTGGGTGGGACAAGAGGATACTCTATGACCTCTCTGGGGATGGAGTGATGGATTCCAGCACAGGGGGAGAAATCCAATCATTCTGATGCTCTGAGATTGCATCTATGGACAAGGGACATGCTCACTTTTGCTCCACACATGTGCACATCCACTCCCCCAGAATGTGGGATGTGGATAGAATTCAAAGTCTGGACTGGGCAATGCCACATTATAGACTATAAGGAAGCATAGTGGGAGGGGTACAGGGAGGAACGTGAGTAGCATAGACCCCAGGTGGAAACATCTGGCTCAAATCCCAGTTCTCCCCTTTAAGAACTATGGGATCTTGGGTGAGTTATCTCTGTGACCCAATTTCCTCATCTGTTAAAATAAAATAAAATAAAATAAAAAAGAATAGTATCTACCACACAGGTTGTTGTGAGGATAAAATTAGACAATAGTTGTAACTCAGGTAGAACAGTGCCAGGCCAATAGCACTCAGAGGTCAGATATTAGGTTATTTACTGTTACAGATAGACACCTTCATCCCTTAACAGCATTTTCTGTGGACTTAAGTGAGGGGAAGGAGGAGGAGGAGTTGAATTTAGAAGTAGAAAACCTCACTTCAAGTTCCGACCTGGCCACTTACTAGCCATGTATGTCTGATTTTCATGCACTTCCGTTTCATTGTCTGTGAAATAGGGATTACAAGGCCTTCCTCACTAGTCATTGTAGGAACTGAACTAAGACCATAGAGATGCCAAAATGCTTTGTGAGTGAAAAAGCCTGTAGACTTAATACTAAGGGTTTACTATGTTACTTTTACCAGGTCAGTCTCTGATTATGGCAGCAGAAGAAGGAAGGAGGGAAGAACTTTGTTGGAAAAATGCTTGTAGAAAATTTTTACAAGAAGGAACCTGATGCCTTTATTTGGTGCATTTAGTTGGTCCAGTGGACCAGGGAACTGTGCTGATGGTTCCTGTGGTTGCCTTGGTACTGAGAGGTTTCCTGGCAGGGCCTTAGGAAGAGGGAAGGAAAGGGAGGCAATTGAGTGTCTTAGATAGGCTCCTCCCACCAGGTAAAGTCTCAGCAGAGACCACTGAGGAGCCAGCGATCACTCAGGGGAGAAAAAGGCATCTAAGTGGCCACAGCTGCCTCACCTGTGGTGAAGGCGGTAGAGGTGATGCTGCTCCTTGCAGTATCCTGGGCTGCCTGTAGCAGCACCGTGTAGTCCGTGATCTCCGACAGGCCCTCCAATCGGATCCAGGTGTCCTCCGCATCCACAATCAGCTCCTGTGTGATGAGCCAGAGGGAGGGCGGTGGAAGGGATTGATGGGCTCACAACATGGGAAAGTGGGAAGGGCAGCCCAAATCCCACAGCCAGCTAGGTCAGCACTGCGGTTATCACTGTCATCCTGTGTATCCCACAATCAGGAGGAAACTGCCAATAAATAAAGGACAGCTCCCGTGTGTGAGTTAGGACAGCTCCAGGGTCAGATAGCTCCTGTCTCACAAGTACATAATGAGATATGCCCAGGTACCTGGATTATAAAATCCAGTGATTTTCAGGATTTGCTTGAGAGCAGACAGAGAGCCTAGGGAATCAGGATCCTAGGCTCCTTGATCCCACAAAGCATATAAGTCTGCTTAAATAATTCTGTACATTGGCTTCTGCATCTGATGTCATTTTAACAAAATTGTGAAAACTAGTGCTCTAGATGGACTGTTTAGGCGGGTGGCATAAAAATAAAATATGTCATCTCTTTGCTGTAAGCAATGGAGATGTAGTCTTTAGGATGCTTGTCAAGAAAATAGGCATAAAAGCCTACTGAATTTGGTACCTGTCAGTGAGAAATCATTCCACTACTGTGTGCTTGAATATTTCCCATGTACTTTGTATCGTGGTATTAGAAGCACTATCACAACCTAGTGAAGTTGTAGGGATAGATAACCCCATTATCTAGAGAACAAACTGAGGCTCAGAGAAGTTTAGTGCTTTGTGTCAACCTGTGTCTAGGTCAAGGTAGAGCTAGGACTAGCCTCAGTACACCAGGCTTGAAGACTAGAGCTCTGTGATGGGAAACTTAGTTCATTCCCTGTAGATTGCTCCACTCTTCCTTTTCTTCCCCTCCAACATCTACTCGTCATTTCACTGGTCAGTTTCCACATGGCCTCACTTGAGAGAAATGGTTTTCCTCTTTTTTTCAGCAAAAGCTCACCTTGCGGCTTCCATCGGCAGATTTGTAGGTCAAGACGTAGTTCTCAATCTCTGCCCTGGGAGGCTGCCAGGAAATCAGGGCACTTTGCCTTGTGATTTCACTGGCTGTCAGGTTTGCAGGAGGGTCCAGGACTGAAAAGAGAAGAAAATGCCATGGTGTGCCTGCCTCTCCTGCTCCTCCCTGCTTGGTTTCAGGCACGGGTATCTCCTTGCCTACTTGCCTACTTCTTTGGTCTCAGGGCTGCTCACATGCTGATCCTAGTACTGACATGGACAGGAGCATAAAGGGGCTCCTGAGTCAGAAGATAATTATTCAATGTTATGGTCATTCCTAAAGCTACTCCCCTCTTCCCTTGTGGGGCCTCTGGACCTAGGTGTAATGGCTTCTGGTCTAACTTTCTATGCCTGGGACCAAGTTCGTTCTTGAACATACAACCATTCCACATTTTCCCTTGGCCTCCTGTTCTCTTGGTCATGGCCACACCAGCAGCCCTCTCTCTTCCATATCTAGCTCTTGAGTAACCATCTTACTCTCTTGGGCCAGATGCTTTCTCAGTACTGGCCTCTGTTGGCCTGGTTCTACTACTATCACCCAGAGCGAGGTGAGGGCAGAAAAGAGACAGAGCTTCAGCTCACTGTCACTGACTGGGCTGCAGTCAGTCAAAATATGAACAGTTCATAGCTGCACTGTCCAAACCTATAGACTATAATCTAGTCTACGACAAAGAAACTGATCACTTTTAGGATCTATAAAGCCTCCAGAGATAGCAGATATATAGATGACCATGTACTCACGGGTAGTGAAGTTGGTACTGATGGTGCCACTGGTGAGAGGCCCACTGGTGGCATACATGGTGACAGTATAGTGGGTACTAGGAAGTAGGTCAATGAGCTGGAATTCCTCACTGACCCCGTCCACCAAAATGGTCTCTCCTGCAACTGAAATCAGATGAACATGGATAAGGATTAGATGAGGCAACTTAACCTGGGAAAGACCTACAAAACTCAAAGACATTTCACAGGGATTCAATTCTGGAGAATTTTGGAAAAAGTCTTTTGTAGGTTATCAAGTTTAGCATTTAATTCTAAACAAGAATACCCTTTCATCACCTCTTCTATCTTAATTGAGAAAAATATGACTTATACAGAGACCAAATCGTCTTCTTTATAACTTCTACTCAGGTCTCTGGAGTTACAAAGAATAAACTGAATTCTCTGCTTACATGACCTTTTCCTCCTCACTGTCCTTCCTAATCAAGTTCTTTCTCTTCTAGACTGAGAAAATTTAACCTTTATCCTCTATTATATCTATGTGACAATTCTAGAACAGGATTCACAGTTCAGGCTGCTTTTCTCTGTCAAGTATTAATAGTAGTTGTGCTGAAATGCACAACTCAGAAGAGAACTAAAAACAATAATTGAGACTCACTGGCCAATGAAATAAACATACTTTCTGCTTCTATTTCTGTCACTTTATAAATTAGCTTTTGGGACGGTCAAGTGATTTTTGTCATCACCTGCTTAAATTACGACAAATCGAGGATTTTGTAATTACTCTCTACAATCCAACCTTATATAGTTGTATAGTTGATCTTTTCTGTATTAATGGACAGAATTTTGAATTTATTTTCATTGCATTTTAACTTGTTGACTGAATGTTGAACCATTGTGTCAATTTACTAAAATATTTTTGAATTTGGAATCTGTCAATCACAGTTTTGCTTTATACACAGATTTGTTAAGCACGTCTTCTCTGAAATCATTCAAGCTGTTGAAAAAACTGTTCAATAGACCAGGGCCAATCCTGCCATTGCACAAATAGAATACTTCTGCATCATTCAGCATTTAGCAAAGTTTATTAGGTGCATTTTCTAAAAGGTGGAGCCTGAGGTTTTAAGTATCTCATGTTCTGAAGACACAGAAAGGCATTCAAACAAATTAAAATCCAAATGAACTCTTTGGCAGAGAGTACGTAATGGCTCACTCCCTAAGAGTCTCCTTTACACAGCCTGCAACTGGTCAGTGTGCAGACAGACTGAACTATAGCTCTTCCTCAGACTTCTCATCCTCTTGTACACCTCTGCAAATGCACATGATCTGCTCTTTCTCTTGGAGTTCCCTTTATTCTACTCTTCTCTTTCTTTCACTTTATCTAAGACCTTTTTCTTTTCCTCTTCTCATACCTTGACTCCAAATTATAGTGGCCCATTGAATGTGGCCCACAGTATTCTTGGCTTGCGTATATTGTGACACTATTCACCTCTGCATCATTACTAGAAGTGATGTCCATGAAGACAAGAACTCATGTTTTGTTTTGAAATCTATATAACCTTATAGTGTTTATGGCCCATGTGAGGGAATCAAAAGTATTTGTTGAGTGAATTGCTATGGTGGAGCTGTGTGCTTTGAACCTGTGACCAAGCATATCTAATTCCCCTAGGGGAACTTCAGATAGAGGAAATAGTGTTGAAACAAAGACTTAAAGGAAGAAATTTTTTAGGCAGATAAGTGGTAACAGAATTTTCTAATGGAAGAAACAGCATGTGCAAATGTGTGGAAACTTGAGAAAGTATAATGAAAGTTAAAAAAATACAGGATCATGATATGCAGGGAGGGGGTGGTAGGAATTGAAATGAATTGTGCATGCACAGTCAGGGGTTAGGATAATATTCATTCTTTGAAGAGGGCTATTCAATCAGCTAACATTCTAGCTAACTCCAAATATGATCCATTATGTATTTTTCTGTGTTAACTAAGGCTGAATGCTAAGTGGAGTTTTCTAATGCCTTGCTGAAATATAAATGTGCCTTTTTACCAGCAAATTTGCCAATCAAAAAATGACATCAAGTGGTTTTGATAATACTTATTCCTAGTAAACCTGTGTTAGCATGTAGTAATCACTAATTCCTTTTCCAACTTGTTTAATAGTCATTTTAGTTTTTACTTTTCCAAGCTTTGAGAGTAAATGTACTTTTTTGCAGCTTACAGAATTGATTTTCTCTGCCATTTCTGAAAATCAAGACATCTGCCTGCCTTCTGTCTTCTGGTTCTTTGTTCTCTTGATTCCTGAATATAACTCACAACAATTCTGTGATCGCATGTTTAATTTAGGCAAGGACATATTTTCCTAAGCCTAGAGACTTGGAATATACAACATTATTTTGTGTTGGGATTCTGTGTTCAACTTCAAATAGCATAAGGTGAACAAGCATGGTGAAGAACACCTTGAAATTCATGATTCCATGTTGGTTCAAACCTTTGGGCTGAATGTGGGTAGAGAAGACCAAGGCAAAAGAAAAGCTTAGCAGTTCTAAATCCTTCGTCACCTGTTATCACACATCTGGCTCTACAACTTAAGTGTTTCTCTTGCTCTGTAAGTACCTAGAAATATCTGCTTTCTTGTCAGTAACATTTTGGAGCGAGTCTTTGCTTGATTCTGAGTTTTGCCTTCCTGGGGCTATTTGTCTTTTTGTTTGTTTGTTTGTTTGTTTGTTTTTTGTAGTTGTCCTTGGTTACATGCCTTCCTGGTATCTTTAGAATTCACCTCAGTCACTACAGTCGATACAATTTGTAGAATTTGGAGATATCTTCAGGGCTTTAGAGTATAACTGAAGGATGAAAATTCCTAATTTGTTTCTCTAACTGACAAAAACTTTTTGCTTCTTTGCTTTCATACTGGTCCACAGCCCCAGTCCTCACCATCTCCATCTGTCTGATGCATAGGGCTATAGACACCCACCTGCAAAGTGTGTGAGAACAATGACATAGTTCTCCACTTCACCTACTGGTGCTTTCCACTGCAGTAGAGCTTCTGTTGGAGTAATGTTGGTAGCAGTCAGATCCACGGGGTTGTCCATGGCTGAAACACAATAGGAGAGCATCAGGTAAAAGTACAAGGAGCTGCAGGACAGAAGTGCAGCAAACTACGTCAGCAGTTTCACCCATGATGCACATCTGCTGCTGGACTGTTCCAAACAGAGAAGTGGGTAGTGCTCTCTTCCCTATGGTTCCATCAGCCCTTTCCTCTTCTCCCTTTCCTCCTTTCTCTCAAGTATCCAGCTCTCCCCTGATTTAACCCCACTGTTCTTTTTAGTTCATTCATTAACTTTTTGTGTGCAGAGCATGTGTCAGGTACAATGGAGATTTTGAGGTATGACCATTGTGTTTTAAATCTAGATGGAGAAACTGAAAACCTATAAACATTGTTACAATTCTTTAGCTGATGAGATAATTGTGTTTCCCAACCTATTTGCATGTTCATAAATATAAATCTGTGCTTTGTGAAAAGACCTCTGCTGATAAACTTTAGGAAGTATGGTGAGAGCTCCATGGGGGCAGAAGCAGCCCCAGGACAGAGAACGTAGAAGGTACTGGGGAAGTATTCATGGAATGAAAGCACAGGATTCAGGCTATCTTGCAATCCTGATTCTTGAATCCTTGTCTCATTACTCATAAGGTACAAGCCTTTATGACTCACTAGACTGAGTAATGGTTTTTTTTTTCCTCATATTTTTCTTTTAGTTTATTTATTTCTTCCATAAATGAGAGACAGAGAGACAAAGAGATCGATATCCCTACAGGGTCTTGACCCTGTGATCAACTCCCAACCTTAGCCAACCCAGATCATGGGCACATATGTTCCCAGTGTACTCAGGGAGGTCTCTGAATTTTAACCTGGAATCTTTCCATGGGGATCAGCTTCACAGAACATCATATTTGATTGCTGTGCCACTGTCCAGCACCTCTGACCCCTTGCCCAGGTCTCCTTTTTGTTGAATTTAGGTTACAAGGGAAGCCAAAGTGCCTATCAGGGGAACAGTCTTAAGACCATCTTGTTTGTCATAGGGCTATCTTCTAATTCTTACTTGCCCATGCCCTAAGCCTTTGTTTAATTACCATGGTTCCTTTCCATAAAGTTAAAAAATGTTTAGAAATGGATGTTATTACAATAGCTTAGGAATCAACTCAAAAGTGTCATGTAGTTTACTTTTGGCTCTGTTCTCTAACTGAGTGTGTGTGTGTGTGTGTGTGTGTGATTTAAAACCTAGAATTGAATCTGTAATCTGTACCTTCAAAGAGTTCTTCAAATGCAGCCCTTATGAGACCACAGTTGGCTTGATGTCTCTGAGACATACACAGTAGACTTAAGGAACACTTATTTCCAAAAGCTGTAGACCTCAAGATTTTTATTCCCTTTATAAAAATTATTATTATTATTTATACATTCAACCACTATACATCATTTAGGTTGTAAAGACACTTTACCCAGCATGATATACACCTCAGACCAGCCCAGTTGAGAACACTATACACGTCATAATCAACAGGTAATAAACCATATTACCTGTCCCACGAATGTCTTATCTCTCTATTTTTCCCCCAAGTTCCTTTTTCTACACACTTTCCCTCTCCCACTCTTCTTCCACTTTGTCCCTAACAATTGAACTGAAAATTGTCCATACAATTTTCAATGTCTTTAAGTCTCTACCAGAGAGTGTACAGTCAGTTTTTGTTAAGTGGAAACATACACTGTCTCTGTTTCATAACCTGACTTGCTTCACTCAGCAATATATCTTTCATATTTGTCCACTTTCTATCAAATGCCGATAGACCGCAAGTTTAAATAACAACAAACTAAGACACTTCTGAGGGAAATCTAATCATTGGAGGTTGCCAATATAGCTTTGCCTAAACACAAAGGAAGGCAGTTTGCGTTGGTACATCTGCCTTACCCGAGAAATTAATTTTTTTTTTTTGGAGAGGGTTTTTTTTGCTATAGGGCATGTGCGTTCTCCAGACAGACAGAGAGAGAGACAAAGAGACAGAAAGCAAGAAATCACTCCCCAGGGGGGATGGCCACGCTGCAATCCCTTCTCCTCTGTTCTCCTCTTGGGATCTTGGGCATGCACGCACATGCGCCCAGCATGAGTTTTAAGCCACCAGGTCCGGGACGCGAACCGTGGTTGACTACTTGGGAGTCCAGCAACATAGCCATTACATTAACAGCTGGTCCCCCTGAGAAATTAATTTTGACCTGAGCTGCTGCTCTCTTTTTCCTTGGGAATAGGTGACTCTTGAAATTCATTTTATTGTCCTTAATGAGAAAAATTTCTAATGTCTTTCCCAATAATTTTTTAGGCCTTTCAGGGAGGTGGGAAGGGAACTTCTTTTGAAAGCTCATTGGACATCACTTCTGGCCAACATTTGCTGATACTTTAATGGTAATATGTACTTCGTTGAGTAGATTAAGACTGAATGGAAAAATATAGCTAGGTTGTCAGTAGTCATAGGGTTAGAAGAAAAATAGGGAAAATTAGAATATTTTATGCTATTCTAGAAGAATGTAGTTTTGCATTTCTTTGACCTGTTAGAGATGCTGTTTCTGAGCTTGTGAGAACATCTATAGAAACAGTGAGGAGTTCCCAGGTACATTTCCCTAGTTCAGGAAATACTAATCTTCATAAAAATTAAGCAACTTCAGAAAAGCCAAGTAGTATCCTAATGTGGCAAGATGCTTTTCCATGTGTTGTGGGACTGAAGGCTTTACTAGGAGGTTTGGTCTGGGAGTTGGGGAAAGAAAACTTGGGCTGTGCCTTTTAGTGACTTCAGCAGCCAACTGTAGCTCATTCTTCCTGGTGCACTGGCTGAGATGCCAGAGAAGGAAGGGGAGTGGAGCTAGGAGGCTCGTCTTCAGGCCCATCCAAGGGGCTTATTTCCAAAAGAAGGCCATAGGATTTGGCCTGCCCTTCCTCACTTTCCCTTATTAGAGCTGGTTGCTCTCTTTCTCCTCCCTTCTTCCAGTTCATTACATAGGAGTTGACTGTGGATGCAGAGTATATCTGGATCTGATTGGAGGACTTGTCAGAGAATACAGACTACGTGCACTAGTACTACTGTAGACAACCCAGGATGCAGTGAAGAGCTGTATCACCTCCACTGCCTTCACCACAGGTGAGGGAGTTATGGCCATTTTGATGCCTTCTTCCTCCCTGGAGCATAAAGCAAGAGAAAATGCACCTCCATGGTGGTTCAGGACATTTTTGATGAAGATTTTCATGATCTAATTTGATGTTACTGGAAAAACAACACCTTTCTTCTCTGAAATAAAATTTCTTTCTCTGTGTCTTTCTAAAAATCAGGTGGAATGATTCAAATATCTGTTCTGGAATTCACTTCCATCATGTGTCTTTGAAAGAACTTGTTTCTTAGGGTGTGTGCACTCACTAGAAGGACAGAGACAGAAAGCGAGAAATCACCCACAGGGGGATGGCCATGCTGCAACCCCTTGTCCTCTATTCTCCTCTTGGGATTTTGGGCATGCATGTGCAGCGTGAGTTTTAAACCTCCTTGTCTGGCACTCAAACCGTGGTCAGCTACATGGGAGTCCAGCGACACAACCATTACACCATCTGCTGGTCCCATTAATAATGGGAATTGCATGAAAATTCCAAACCTAAACCAGAAAGACTGAGAGTATAGCTTCCTATGCTTCTAGTATTAGAGAGAAATTGCATATTACTCTACACAATGCAGTGAATTGGAGGAGCACCAGGAATGAACCATCAGACCCTGCACCCATGTCTTGTACCAGCAAGAGCAACCTAACCCTTTGCCTCTTTTGTTTGTTGTGAGTCCTCAACTAGGGTCCTGACCAGACATGGGAGGCGGGACAAGGGACATGCCTACCTGTGTGCACGAGAGTGCAGATGCGCTCGCTCTCCTCCCTGCCCCGCACACTGTTGAGGCTGATTTCATATTCAGTAGCTGGATATAGCTTGGTGATGGTGAATTCTGTCACAGTGTTGGGCACCACTGAGCTGTCCAGCCGTCCCACTGAGGAAGAGTAGAATCCACAGTGAAAGTCCAGTGACTCTCTCACTAGCACAGTGCATGTTCACTCTACAGAGGGGCTCCCAGTGGCACTTGGTCAGGAAGCACAGATGGGCACGGGACTCAGACCCAGCAGGGAGGGAAAAGAAACAGGAATGTTGGAGTTTGAGGAGACCTTGCATGCTGGTCCCACCCCTTCATTTTATGACTTCTTTGAGCAAAGAAAAGTGAACTGTGTGTTAATTGGTTTTCAATAAGCTGATCTTCTCTGAAGCAATTTTGTTAAGGCAGTATAGAGAGTGTGGCTACAGAATGGCCAATGCAACCCAGAAGTAGGGTCGCCGGGAAAGCGGCCCTCCCCCTCACTGGAACTGTGCCCTATACTTCACTAACAATGCCACATGCACCAGCAAGGACTGGCAGGTTGCAGGTCAGGTCTGGGCCAACTTCCTCTGACTCATGAATTGGCCAGGGTGGCAGAAATAGGGCTACGTCACTGTGGTTCCCTCTAAGGCTCCATCTGCTCTGCTGGGTCTTTAGCCATCCCCCTGGATTCTAGTCATAGACTTCATTCTCTCAGGAAAGTGTGTTGATTCTGGCTCTTGGCAGATTCTGTTAGGGCTATTTGTTCCTCATTATATCACCTAAATAATGGTGACCAGTTACTTCTGCTGGTAAAGGGCTTGGTTTCTGAGGGAATATAATCAAGTCTTTTTTGATGGAGTTAGTGAGTTCAGAGTTTCTTGGCTGCTCCTCATTAACCCATCCTCATTCTGATGGGACGTGCCCCAGAGAGAAGGAAAAATGTAGGCAGGGATTGCTGATGTCCTGTGCGAATGCTAGTTCTCCCATAATCACCTTGACCCAAATACCATTTGAGAAATCACATAACTTTATTACCTTGAGTGGGTCGATATGATACTCGGTAGTAATCAAAAGATGCAACCGGGGGGCTCCAGGAGACCAACACTGAGTCCTTGGTCACGTTGCTAATTGTGATGTCTTTGGGGGGGTCGATTCCTATAAGTACCCAGATGGTGATGACAAAAAGACAGAAAGCACATTGTGAAAAAGGAATTTCTATTCCCAGTTTTCTATTGACCAAGAACCAATGGTGTCTCAAAGGGAGACAAGGCCTTACAGTGTAATAGGGCATCCTTAAAATCATGGTGAAGTTGATGTCTCACCTGAAACCTGTGAAAATTGTCAGCCCAAATCGTGTCATTTGTGTCAACGTGTGTTAAACCCTAACTAAACTGAGCTGGGAAAGGCAATGAAAGGGACAATCCCCACACTGGTGTCTCTGATAGCAAGAACTGTCACATGGACTCTGTTAAAAACACAACCTTGCACAAAGACCACTGCAACCTGACACAAGGACTACTTCTGTGAGGACATCTGCCCAGAAAGTGCCTGTCCAACTGGTGCCAACTGGTGCCAACAGTGATGTCAGGACAAAGGGTGATGTCAATTCACCTCTGTCACCGGATCCTGAAACAATAAGCTCAGTCTCCCTTCCCCCTTAGTTGTAGTTTTTGTATTTAAAATCATCCTGAAATTTGTAAGACCTTGGTACATATATCCAGAGTATCTTGGATATTTAGGTCCCTGGGTATCATCCTCAATCCTGGCTCTAATAAACTCCTTTGTTGTAGACGTTTTGGCTCAGTTTACCTTTTAGTCTGAAAAATCTTACAGATGATAGTCAAGCAGAGAGGACATGTTAGCAACAGAAGCCAAGCTGGCAAGGTCTATGCCTCTATCTGAAATTCCACTAGGAAGTCGCCTTTAAGTTTCTATGTTTTGTTTTACACTAGGAGTAACATAGTCATGTCTTCAGAGGAAACTTCACTTGGATAAATCCGACTCTGCCTCTCTCTCTTATTTTTTTATAGTTACCTTGGGTTTAATTTGGAAAACCTGCCTATTGACTGTAGAGGGATTTCAGAGCACAAGTCCAGAACAAATCCACTTTCCTAAACTGTATTATGTTTATTCTAGATACTTTTTCCCCCTGACTACCAGAGGACTGCAGAATTGAATTAGTTATGTGTTTAATCCACTTGTCCAGTTAGTGAGTTCTTGTGAGTATGAAGGAAGCTACCTAACACATACGTCCTTACCCACACACATCTCATATCTGAGATTGTATTTGAGAATGATGAGATCGAAATGATCCAATTCTTCTCAGATGGCCTGTGTCTCCCAAACAACATTGTAACCACATTCTTTGCCAGGTCACTATGTGGTTGCGTGCTAGTCTCATGTGATTCTGAGGAATATCACTTACACCAGTGACCTTGCTGGGCATTCAAGAAATAGCACTGCAGAACAGACAGGTGTCTCCTTACTGTAAGGAATTCCTCTCACACACTAGAGGAATTTTCCCAGGGCTCTCTCTTAGGCTGGTAATTAGGGGACCTCTGTTCCAATGCATTCAAGCCCTGGGCTCCTCGAGACATTGTGTCTGTCCTACCTTCCAAATGGGAGTTTCCCTATGCATCTTCTGCAGCTCTGGAAGAAATTGTTTCAGGATAGCTTAAGACCCTCTCTAGTTATAGAGGTAGTCCCCTACTCCTTGGGTTTTTCTCTTTTCAAATTTTATTTACTTGTCAATGGCTACTGTGAGAAACCCCTTTACCACCTGCTGTCAGATCCACCAGCCTCACCTGTGGTGATGGAGCCCACAATGGGCTCAGAGGTCACTGTGCCATGGACAGCCACCAGGTTCACAATATACTCAGTGGCTGGCTGTAGGCCCATGAGGACAGCGTGTCTCTTTGTGGCATCCAGGGAGACCTCCATCATCTCTTCCTCTTCATCCCGGGGGCTGTAGTTCAGAATGAGTCGGTCTGCCGGGGGGGATGGGTCACTCCAGGTGATATTCACACTGGAGGAGGTCACGTGAGAAAAGTGCAAATGAGAGATGGGGCGGAAGCCTGTAAAGCAAGGAGAACGTGTAACAGGGTAGGGCACTGGGTTACAAGAGCCACCTGACTGATAGGATCTGCTCTCCTTATTAATATGGGCTATTCCTTCACCCATTGACAAGAGATTCTACCTCCTCACTCTCTAGTTTTTTGTCCACTCTACTTTTTCCAGGCCATATACTGAAAAAGAAATTTTGGTAAAACCAGAATTACTTTGTGAGTTATTCATAACAACAATCCAGTATCTAAAATCTCTATTCTGGAAAGAATCTAACATGGTCCCACGAACCCCTTGAATGCCTACTGATTTAGCACAGGCAGGGAAAGCTGTGCAGAATCAGCTGCTATGGCCAGGCTGGAGAACACAGAAATATTCAGGCATGTAGGACCTTGCTCCCCTCTTCCCTTTACTTGCAGCTGTTCCCTCTTGATTTGTTTTCTTAATCCCTCTTCTTTTTCTTCTGATCTCTTTTCCTTCCTCTGAAGGGAATGGAGACTTGGGTGTGGGGTTGGCTCCATGACCCTTTCCCTCTAAGATACACTGATTCCTGAACCCAGCTGGGATTTCTGCCCCTTGGTACCTGTGAAGGCGTCCACAGTGGACTCCAGGCTCTGCTGCCGACCCCTCTCAGCGGTGATGGAAATTATATACTCTGCCCCAGGCTCTAGATCTGTCAGCGTGTACGAGGTTCTGTCCCTGGGCACAGTGACTTCAGAGGCAACCCCAGAGGATGGGGTAAAGGTAATCCGGTAGTGGTCAATGGGGCCACTGGCCTTGGTCCAGATGAGGGAAATAGAGGTCTCTGAGGAGGCTGTCACCATGAGGTCTCGGGGACTGTCAAGTTCTGTGGATCAACATAAATGTCCTATTTAATGCAGGTTCCTCAGGAGGGTTAGTATTTTTTGGACCACTCTGTGTGTTCTAAGCTCTCAGCAAGCTTCTGATCATGAGCACTGGCTTGCCACTGCTGACACTAACCTCATGTTTTGCTAAGCACTTTCTTTTTGAAAGATGGCCATGAGCGTGGCAAATAGAGGGGATGCTCTGCAGAAAGGCATTGTTAGCACTGAAATGACTGGACAACACCCACCTCTGGGGGCTATGTTGGCTGCTCTCCATAGTCATTTTCTCCCATTATTTCTCAGAAAGTGAACCAGGGCACAACAAGAACCATTACCAAGTAGGCTATGCCATCCTTACAATGGTAGACCCCTATCTTCCATCCTGGAGGCCATTTGACTTGGCCTAAACATGGGTGTGTTGGCAATGAAATCTGAGGGCTCCTGGGGGTCCTTGGCCATGTAGTTCTAGACGTTGTCTGTTAGACTGATCTCCAGGCCAGCTCAGGCTGATTGTACCTGAACTGCTAGAATGACTTTGATATTTACTCAGGATCTTGGAGAAAAACTGCAAGAATGAGAGAAGCAAGACTCTGAAGTGGACTTCTACTACTTGTGGACATAATGGGTTGTTTTTAGGTCTAGACATTTACCCCAGTGGCCTTTGTGAGGACTTCTTGGTACAATGTGAGGAACACTTCACTCTGCCTTCTATGGGGTGGCTGGATAGAAATACAGCAAGGCAATCTATTTGGGATTTTCTACCTTTGCCTGCACAGCTCTGGCCATCCCTTTAGACCATGGGCGACCTAGCACAGATCTATAGAGAAGAGGGTGGACTCCCATCTTGCATGTCAGATGTTAGGCATAATGTGGAAGTTGTTCCTCTCTGATGGTTGTAACCTGGGAGAAAGTCATGGGGGGCATTGCCTTTTGATTGATTTTTGCCAGGAAAGCCTCTGGGCTCCTTGTAGGTTAACATGGTCATCTTTAATCCTCCTACTCACCAGTCCTGGCATTCATGGTGGCTGGCACACTTTGCTGTGAGTTCATGATGGCAGATATTCCAACTCCATACTCGGTGCCGGGTACCAGATCTATTGGTAGATGCAGAAACAGACATTATTCTGTGTGTGCGTCAGGGTTCA